TCTGACACCTCCGCACCCGTTGTTGCCCCTTCTCTTGTGACGGTTACCTCTTTCACACCTACTCCCCCAACTGCTGCCGACACACCTCTTAAGCCTGACCCAACGGTACAATTACTATTAAAGGGGGGCTCATAAGTTATATTTAACATTTTATTTTGTTTAATCTTCATGCTATATGTTTTTTCGTAACAAATTTTTTTCTTAAGCAGATTCATTCTCTACAAGTTGCATGTCACCAGCATTACAAAGATTATAAATAGCATGTACGATGAGTTTTATCTATGATGAAAGCAGATTCCTTTAGCCACTCAGGATATGTGGTTCAGAGAGTTTCAGGTATAATCATGTAATTTGAATCAGATTTATAAATTTAATTTAAATTCTTACACTAACATGTGGATTTTTGTTTACATTGCAATGGTTCTTTATCTGGCTCCCAGAGCGCCACCATCAGATCTGTCGAATCTTTGACATTCGAGGCAGGCATTGCTTGACGACATGTTCACGACAACCAGCAAGAGGGGTGAGCTGCCTGCCTGGATCAGGGGCGAGCTGCCTGCCTGGATCGGTGAGGTGCTCTTGGGTCAGTTGACCACAGTCTCTGCCTCTTCTTATTATGAGAGGAAGAGGCAGACGAACCAGGTGAATTGGGCGATAGAGGGGGCTAGGGGAGCTACACTCCATATTAGCAAATCAATCCCCCATATGGAGCACTACATAAGGTTGGTAAAATTCTTTTAAATATTTAAATATTAATTCAATCCTTGAAGTATTTTTTTAGTGCTAACCAATTTTGTACATTAAACATGCCAATGAGTTGAGTTGTGCTCCCACCATTGTGGAGCTACTTGTCCGAACTCATCGGCGCCCGAGGACTGTACAGTATTTCTTGGAGCATTTCCATTGGGTTGCTATGAGTTAAAAATCTTTAAGTAAAAGTTTATTTTGACTCTAATTGCTGAATGTGTCAATTAAACACTAGTTTTAATTATACAAGAGGAGTTCTAGGAGCTCTGGGAGAGGCATCTGGTCACTCAGGACCATACTACTGTCAGCATCAGTGGAAGTTAGCCTACCATTACATAGTCTGAGTACGATCTTTGGACCCAGCTAATGGGGAAGAAGAATGGGAGGGTTTAAGGCCTTGGAGCGAAGGGCATAACCTTTGAGGCTAAGCACTCCCGTGGTCCCATTCTGAGTTTTTTGAGCTTCTCACAGCCAGGCCCAGAGGCTCTTGTCATACAGGTGGCTATAATGAATTAGGAGATCCGTCAGTTGCATAAACAGATGCTAGAAGACCAAAACAAAGTCGAGGACTCTATAGAACGCATGAAGAAGACTTTTTGCTGATCATCGGGGCAAGTGACCAATGACATAAGTACAGGAGGAGGATGATAGAGATGATGAATATTCTATTTTTATGTTTTCTTTTATTTGTAAGCATTTTGTTGAATATTTGTCGTGAAATTTTTGGCTAACTTAACTATTCTTATTTGAAATGATTGTGATAACAAATACTTTTTTATTAATGTTATTGTTTTGAGATTTGATCTGTGATATGACTGATTATAATGTGGTATGTGGTGTATAATATGTTTTTTTTCTGCAGGTTATGGAAATATAATTGATTTTTTAGATTTTTCCTTTTTCTGTGATACAGGTTTGTGTCAGATTTGCATCCTTTTTTCCGATGCTAAATCGACAATAATCTTTTGTCATTCAATGATATTTTTCGCCACCAAGTTGATGGTAATACGACTCTATTATTCATCGTCGGATAACTTTGGATGCAAAAATTGACGCACGTTTCAAATAAGCAAATCTGACGCTAATACGATACCAAAACCGATGAAAATTACTTGTGTCAGAATTTTTCGATGCAAAGTGGACTAAACGAAAATTACTGATGCCCGATTTAACAACAAAAAAAATTAGACGTAAATTAGGAACTAAACGCAAATCCAACGATAACACTTAAATATCGTCTAATTTGGCTTCGATTTACATCTTATATAACTGACACAAATATGTTTAATTCCCGTAATATTATTTTATGTATATCTTAATACATATATATTAATTCTATATTTATAGATTGCTTGAAGTTCTCTTTTAAATTTAATTTGTTATATTATTTGATTGGGTGCTAGCAAAATTTATGTTAAATTTTTTTTTATGTATTTTATGAAAATTGTTGTATTTTAGGCTTATGATGTTATTATTAGGGTTTCTCAACCTACACTTGGTATGAAAGTGATTTTTTGATTGAACACTGGAATTTTAGTTAGTGGGTTTGGCTAGGCGTAGATGAGTAAGCTTCTTAATACTTGGCCAAATCATGTAGAAATTTTATTGTATGCTTTAGTAAGCTTCTTGAATGTTTGAGAGAAATTCCAAGGTATTTTAAAGAGCTTGATTTACATTGGAAATTTTAAAAACAAATACAAAAATATAAAATTAAGGGAAAAAAATTTTGTTGGGCAAGGTGAGTGTTTAATCCTAAGCACAAATAAAACATAACATTATTTATAAAAAATTACGAAGTATCATAAGATATATTATAAAAGAAAAAAAAGATGTTAGAGAAATAAATCCTTCGTTTTAAAGAAATAGAGATTATATCTTTGAAGGATATGAATTTTTTAAAAAAGTTGAATGGTTTGATACTAGTGAGATGGTACCTCAATTTCTTTGGACTATTTTAATGATCTTATTTTCTTGTTATATCTAGTAGAAATAATACAAGCAAGCTAATAGTTGATCTTTCATTGTCTCTTTGATATCTTAAGAAGATCTTCAAATGAGAGATAAATATAATATCCGTAAAATTAACATAATAGATTAACCATATATTAAACTTTTGATTGAATTGGATTAAAAAAGTTGATTATAATTATGATTTATCCATCGTGATTGAAGAGTGGTTATGCCAAAAATCTTTATAATGTAACCTCTAAAACTATGAATATATTGAGAATAAAGTTAAGAGTTTGGTATTGATGAATTTGGTATCCATTGTATTACTTGTTTTAGGAAAATCTTTATAATATTGCCAATAGATGTCTAATTCTAGTTTAGATAATTAGAGAATTTAAATGTAGATAACATGTTTTTTCAAAGTTGGAGTTTTTGAAGGTTTTATTTTTTGCCCATATTCTTATCTCTAACAATGGATATGTTATGATGATATCTCTATAATTATATTAATAATTTTAATTCTTTTTATCATAAAGTTATGAACTTTTTTCTTAATAAGTATACATTTTTTTATTGTGCTTGTATGTGATGGCCCAGGCGTCATTAGTGAACTAAGTATTTGGTCTTTTTTTTTTGTAAGAATATTTAGGTTGAATACACTCTTAAATGGTGAGATTAATAATATTCATATTGCTCACTATTATTTAAGTTTTTTTTAGTAATTTTGGTTAATTATGGCGTTCAAAATTTTACTTCTTTTTAAAAATATTAACTCTAGGAAAGGCACACTATAATCTAAAAGAAGACTAAGCCTTGAAAGGACTAAGGGATTTATCCTTTAAAATTGGCCAGTCAAAAAGGATGCATAGAGATTCGATTAATTTACATTATGGAAGGGAACCATCTAGGCTTAGTCCTAACCTAGGCAGATGGGTGAGATCTAAGAAAACTACTATAAAGTCTATATCTCCTAAGACTAAGGAGGTGGTCTAATGAGTGTCCAAGCTAAGTTAGACTAGAGCTATGAATTTTTTTTTCTAAGGATTTTATTTGCAAGATATGGTTTATAGTTAGGTATATATATGTATGTATATATATGTTTAATTAATTTACTTAGCTGTCACACATTAAAAATCAAATGAGTGTTTTCAAGCAAACTAATGAATAATTGTACTACTTATTTTATAATCAAATTAGCCTTATCAAGCTTATAAATGAGTTTTAACTCAAGCTAAATGAATAGCTAAAACAAGGATACAGACACAAAATAAATTGACAATCAAACAAATAATCTTGTATCTTATTATATATATGTTATGAATTGAAAATTTAATTTAATTTAATATAAATGAGTTTTAAGTTGAGCTTTAATTGAATTTATTCAGAAGCTTTAAACCAAACTTTGACTAAGTTATTTCATAAGCCTTAAATCTACTTGAGCTTATTCCCAAGCTTGTTCGTGTATTTTAATTGAAGCTATTTATCTAGCTTCTTAATGAGTTTGGTAACAAGCTTTAAATGACACTATTTTTTACTATAAACTAATTGAAAAATGAGTTGTTCCAGCTTGTTCATTTAACAATCAAGAATTTGTAAAATTGTTCAAATTTGTTCACTTAGTTAATCAAATGAATGTGAACAACCTCTTATTGAATGAGCTACAAGTCATGGAAAACTAAATTCATTTGCAGCTCTACTAATAGGAATCTAACAAAATTTAAAAAATAATGCTGGAGATTCTCAACAAAGATGTGGTCAACAAATCGGCTCATAATCATTTTTTTTTTTTGAGGGACTTCTTCAATTGCTTGACTAAAACTTAGTTTATTTAAAGCTTCACCTAGCACATCCGCCCTTATGGATAAATATGTCAACAAATGTTATGTTGGTAGATGAACTCACAAATTTTGATATTTTTTAAAACTTATCATTGTCTCAAATGATCCAATGGGCCTATTGATGCATCAAAATGTACTAAGATTCTGCTCTTTATTTAAATTTAGCTGTCAGATTGCTTATTATTATTATTACTAGTATAAAAATTTTAGAAATGAACATTTTTAGCTTAAAATTTTCATTAAAGCAAGTGTCAAATAAGAGAAAAATTATTCCATTAGGACATCGGACAACAAAATTTACGTGCAGAGTTCAACGATCACATGTCACGTGACAAATGAGCCCAACCACTCTAAAACATTTACTATAGTGGGACGAACTTGTCACATGATAAGTGCCCACCGGACTTAAGGCTCAAGTGTTCCATGGAATAAGTGCTCCAAATTGTGGGCTAGCAAGCAAACAGACAATTGAAGATCAAACCAGAAATAACATCCTTCCTAATTGAGTGAGTATCTGGGGTTCTTTCTTCGTATTTAACGCATTACCAAGAGTTATGATTCATATGACATATGATCATAATTTGATTCACAATAGATTCCACCATAAATTCCCAAATAGCCAATCTATGAGCGACCTCTTACTCGTAACAGGTCTACTGCTGTCAATTATCCTAAACCACTGATTCTCAGGATCGCACGTTTGATCTCTGTCAAGACACAGGCATGTGCTAGTCACTATGGTTCTTCCATCTGAGCCGACATCCAAGCACAGACTACTGCTGCTGTTCGCCGTCAATTTTGTCGACAAATGCATCGTCGAATCCGATATGAGCTCCCAATTGGAGGCAGCATCGCTGCAAATCGTCCCAAACTTCACCTTCTCACCCTCGCCTGCTGCTTTGAGGCACACTGTTGTGCCCTTTAATAGAAGTGTGTGTTGTCCGGTGTAATCCCAGGCTTCGGACTCGTCGCATTGCCCCAGGTGAAGCGGCTCAGACAGAGATTTCTTCGCCACACACAGCCCAGTTGCCGGGTGGAAGAGAACTTTGTAGGGCTTTATGGCGGAAAGTCCAGGACCTGCATTAAACCAGGTGTTGAATTGGTACCGAACAAATGTTTAGGGTTCTATTGCGTGGTAAAAGTTCTTAAGTACTTGTTTATATCAAATGCAGTATTTTTTATTTAGCATTTTCTAACTAATTATACAATGTAATGTTATTTCAAATGATCTTCCAGGATTGTGATTTTTTTTTCTTGGGAGATTTGTTATGGACTCTCTATAGTTTGATCTTTTTGTGAAAAATGAAAAGAGTTTTGAAATTCTGTAAAGAAAAACAATAATTTTTTCTTGTATATCAACAAGCATAGCAACTATCTTGAATCCAGAGATACATATCTTGGGTTTTAAGATTTTGGTATTATTGGTAGAGCATTTTCTAAAACTTGTGTTTTAGTACCGAAGAGTGATGCCCAAATAATGACACTTCAGCTGTAATATGGAAGTTTTGTTGCAGTCTCTAGCAGCAGTATCAAGTTCTCTATATCCAGGAATTTATTGCTATTTTTTTAAAATTGGCATATATATTAGTATTAGTTGTCATTGTTTACGAAATAAGATGATTATTATCTTTGTTCACATAATTCCAAATTATCAAAATGGTTTTCCTTCTTTTCATAGAACCTGACCAGGTATGCTATATCAAAAACGTTAATATTTCAAATAAAACCATTATAGCAATTGAAATTTTCAATTGGTTTAGTATCAATCAGGTCTAATTATTAGGTGTGGAGGGCGCACGCAACAATCGCTCATCAATCAGACCCCAAAATAATTTTTTTCTCGAGATTAAATTCTAAAAATCATTGGGCTTTGCCTGATCAAATTCTACCTTCTCAGAACATGATAAAAAGTATTTATAACAAATTTGTCTTGTGGATTGCGATTTGCATTTCACATGTTTGTTTTTATTTTTTATCATTAATGGTGAGTTTATCAGTTTTTTTACTTGTTGACTTCATGAATATTTTCAAATCCATGATAGCTTAAGATATGGCTACCTTTATCTTCTTCATTTTTTTTTTTGCTACTTTGATAGGGATATTCTATAAAGTTATCAATGATAGTTATTCCTAAGTTGGAATTTCAACTCATCACCCATGAATATTCATAACCTAGCTTAAGAAGTTTATGATTTGCTTTTCTAAAATTTTAGTTAATTATAGCTTTTTGTAAAAGTTTTTTAATCTCAAATGTAAGTCAATCTCTTTAAAAATACCTTGGAGTTCCTGTTGTGCTGGAGCCCGATCCTGATCCCGCCTCCCGATCTCCCGCTCCAGCTTCCCGCTTTCGCGCCCGATCGCAAAAGATGCGTCTCCCGCCTGGCGCCATTCATTACAGAGGAACTGTTCTCGCCTTTGTCGTTTCGTGAATTGTCGCATCTACCTGTTAGCAATAAAAGGTATCACACAACTCTCCTTCAGTTTTAGAAGTCACGGTTTTTGGTGTTCTTCTTCAGGCTTCCTCGAGATAGAGGAAGGAAAGTGCAAGCAGCAATTCCTTATGGTAGAAGGAAGAAGGAAGAAGAAAGAAGAAGAAGAATATTGTTCTCCTTTGGCTTCTTCTTGGTGGTTTGTGACAGAAGAGAAATTGAGTTTATTTATCTTGTAAGTTTATCTTCTTCGGTGTATCTCGGTGTAGAGTTTTTTCGGTATATTTTGGTGTAGAGAGAGAAGAAGAGAGAGAGAAGAAGAGAGAGCAATGAAGTGAGAGATTCCTCTTGTAAGCGAGACAATCGACTGGTGTAAATTCCTAATTCTCTGCAACTTTCTGCAACTTCGTGGACGTAGGCAATTTGCAGAACCACGTAAATCTGTGTGTTTCGTTGTGTTACTGTTTTGTAGTGTGAATTTTCTCGTTCTATTTTTTCGCTTCGTTGACCATTATCCTATTTGATTTATATATCTACTACATCAACTGGTATAGTTCACAACAATTGATATCGGAACTTTGTTTTGAATCTGAGGAAGCATGATGGCCGCAGATGAAGTAAGGGTTTCAGAGATTGATAAATTTGATGACACAGATTTTGGTTATTGGAGAATGCAGATAGATGACTACCTATATGAGAATAAACTTCATCTTCCGTTATTGGAGAAAAGATCTGAAAAGATGGATGAGGCTGAATGGAATTTGTTGGATCGACAAGTTCTGGGTGTTATTCGATTGACCGGATCAAGGTCCGTTGCACACAACATAATATCAGTAATATCTCTTCAGCCATATTGTGTGCAATGGATGAGGCATAATGTCCATTGTGAGTTGTGCCTAGCCAGACTTCAGTAATATCAGATAAGGTAATATCTATTTCCATAAGTATTCTGGCCACAGAAGACCTGGTTAAGTTAAAAGTGGGCATATCTAGCTTCATAGGATCTCCAAGAATGGCTCCAATAGAATAAAGAACCTAATGATTAAAGAAATGCAACTTGAAACCTGGTAAACTAATCCATACAGGAACAATATGAGACTTATGATTTGGGTCAAAATTAGGAGACCACTTGAGTAACTTCATTGACTTATCTGCAATGTTAATATAATTTTTTAGAGACAATCCGAGCATAGTCATCAGCTAGGGTTAACTGAATCAACACATGTTTCCCATCCAAAAGTCTCACTTTCCACTTGCCTACAAGTTTGAGATCGTGAACACTC